CTTGTTTAACTCAGCCAACAGGAACTGCACTGTACAAGCACTCATGCTATGGCCTTGCTAATACTCTGCCCCATGCATGGCTTTTTAGCTATATCAAAAGCATCATATTAAATTTATATTTGAGGAGACGTGGTACAAGAGTTTCTATCTTAAGTGCTGAATGTTGTATGACAGTTCTTGAAAACTTTTTTTTTTTTGTATGTGTGTGGTTTCAATGGGCAAATATATATATATATATATATATATATATATATATTTTCTTCCTAGGAAGTCTATTTTTCTTGCTTTTGAAATGAATATTTCTACAGGGAGGATGCTGATTCTTTCTTACTTCTTGGAAAAGTTTGTTCTTTTATGTTGTTTGTACATATTCTTTTTTTTTTTTTTTCCCCAACAAAGAACTGAAGATGATATCGTAATGCTCCTTACAGAAGGTCCTCTCCTTACCAGTTTTTATGTCATGGTGTTAAATAGTCAACAACTCAGAAAAAATTATGTTTTTCACCCCTGCAGTGAAAAAAAGGAACGTCACTGCAGAACAGAGAAGAAAGTTTAATTCCAGCTCAGCTCTGGACCACTGGTGTGCTCACACAAGGTTGATTTAGAAGGGTCTGAGGGCAACAATAGATTTTTTTTTTTTTTTTTTGTCTAAATAGGAAGCAGAGAAGGAGATAGCTAAAAACTACCAGAAAATGGAATGAAATACCTTATAGAATTGACTTGCTTAGGTCTCAAGCTGCTTTTATTTCTGAGAGCAGGATCTGTTGTTTCCTTTCCTAAGAAATATGGCATGCAGTTACAGGGAAGGTTAGGCTATCCAATGCAACTGTTTCACTGGGTAAAGGAAGAGGTTTCTTTTCTTTCTCCATCCACCATTGCATGCTGGCTTTCAGTTATCATGAGCTCAGCCTAAATGTACCAAGCAAGATTTTTCAAACAAGTCTGGAAGATCAGAGTCTATTTAATGAGCCCTGATAGTTTTTGATCTGGCAAACTATTTCAAATGCATTTAAGTCAACATCAACAAATATGCAGCAAACAAGTAAGTACTGCTCTTTGGAGAGTGGAAAGTCTTATATTTCCAATGTACAGGAGAGAGTGAGAATTCACTGTTTTTAAAATATTTGCCGTAAGTCAATAACATTCAAAATTAAGTGCAATTTTTTAACCTCTTTAGATACTGTTTACCTGGACAAATATGGTGAGAACATGCTGAATTTTTCCAAATCTCAGCTTTTCTGTCAAAAAATTCAGATGGTAAATCCTTTGAGATCTGCCTTCTTCATCTGCACTGGAAATAGAAAATGAAAATTCTTGCTCTCTCCTGTACACTGGAAATATAATATGATGTAGTTTCCACTCTCCAAAATGCAGTACTTACTGGGTTGACTGCATATTTGTGCCCTTATATATCTTAAAATGTACACATCTTACAATTTATTTGCATGTGATTAGATGTGCATTTATTTAACATGCGCTCTCATCTGATGTTCTCACATGTGTGGTTAGCAGTTTTCAACTCAGAGCTGTAGTGGAGAAGGAGCATCTGGCTATAACTAAAAATATGAACAAAAAACGGACTGGAACTCTGTCAGAAATGTAGAAACCATAAAGATAAATGTTGGTGTAATAGTCCTGAATATCAGCTGGCAGGCAACAGCAACTTTAATGGAACATTGATGTAAGGGAAAGTTATGATGTTTCTTGCCTGATTTTTCTCCAAGCTAGAAGCAGCAGATGAAAAATGAAGCTTCTCTACTGTATTAACCATTGATCTTTGCGCATAGTGGAGACATTTTAAAAGCTGTTTCAGTGTAATCCTAAACCAACAGGTTTTGTTGTTGTTGTTCTTTTCTGTTGATAAAAATAGTCCTAGAGTTAGGCAAAATTAACAAGTATGTACTTGAAGACTCCTTTTTGACTTCTTCTCTCTGAAAAGAGTTTTGTTTGGTAAAAGCTGTCAAGGTAAAAGAAACAAGCTAGCTCCTTGACAGATTCTTGAGCTGCATTCCCCATCTATCATTGAGCAGCAACAGTCTGACCATTGTTAGCCCCTTAGTAATCCATTTTTCTGTAGTCCTTTAATAGAGCATCAGGTGTCAAATGGATGAACTAGTTTGATAATAAATACTACAGTGATGCTTAGATTGTTCCTAAATGTTCCCAATCTATGAACCAAGAACTCATATTTACAGACTATGGCCATTTCTAAAAACAAGCAGTGCTAATTCTTCTCCCTGCTTTCTTTTCATTAACTGAGACTGTACAGGAAGGGAGAAAAGAAAATGTATCTTTAAACCCTTTTTATAATGCCTGCTTCCATGTGGCAGCCTTCTTTTGCTATGACCACTTATTCCAAGCTGCTATCTGTTTTCTTCAGATCAACACATCTGCATCATTAGCAATAAAATTTGCAGCAATGGCAGGAAAACAAGGGAAGCTAGATTTCAAAGCGGGACAAACCTCAGCCATGTATTTTGTAGCACAGAAGTGATTGAAAATATCCTCTGGTGCTGAACTTATTTGAACCACCATTTTTCTTTGTGCTGTTTTTACACTGAGTCTTCTCTGTGTTTTGCTTTTCAATTAAGGCATCTGACACCTTCTTCTAGGTGTCACCTTTCATGTCTTGTGGAGACATCCTTGGTCTAACCTTGTCAAAACACTATTTCAGCAGTCCCTGGTATTGACGTTTAAAGCATTGCTGTTCTGCTTGGCAAGCTGTCACGCTCTGGCCTGGTTTCCGTGACAATGATACCATGACACAAGCGCTGGGAAATCTTAATTTGAAAGGTTTGCTTTCATTTTGAATGCATGCAAGTATTTCTGCAGGGGCAAACCTGCAGAGAATTTGGATATACAGTCAACAAATTTATATATATATATGTATGTGTCCTATCTTTCTGCAGTGATGCCGAAACCTCAGAAGTTCCCCATCCACACATTAAAATATAAATACACACAATGTGAGTGAACAGTATTCTTGTGAATAATAACTGTTGTTGTATGAGTCCTGCTGCCTTTGTTTGAAGGGTTTAATTCTGTAACAATTGGAAAGAAATGAAGAAAAGAGGGCAACATTCTGAGATATCTATATCTAGCAGAGAAGAAAAAGATTTTACTCGTGTTCATAGAATAATAGAATCACTCAGGTTGGAAAAGACCTTAAAGATCATCAAGTCCAACCATGACCTAACCATACTACCCTAACAACCCTCCGCTAAATCATGTCTCTGAGCACCACATATTGAGATAACTTTTGAAATCTAATACATTCCTTATTATTGTTTATAATACTTCCTAAATACCTTCCTCTAATTTGTAACTTACTACTTAGGTTTGTAATGTGCTTCTAAGATATTTTTAATTTATCCTCATGAGTGGAAGTCTTTTCTAAAATGTCAGTAATATTTAGAAACACCAGCTGACCAAGGCTATTTTGTATTGACAAAGAGTATTTGCTTTTTTAATAAGATGATGACTGATTTATTGTTGGAAAATACATGTGGTGCTGGAAGTGGGAAAGCAAATATGTATAAGAAGGTCTTTCAGAAGTAGTTTGGGATCAATACATTGCTGAACAGAGATTTTTTTTTTTTGCATGATTGCAAATTTTAAATGTAAGCATATGTTCTTAATGTCTTGAAGAATTAAATACTACAGCAACTTCTTCCAGCTATCCAGAACATAAAAATATGCTTACCTATATCATGCCCTCATCTGTCTTTATAGTGTCAGACAGCAGCTCCTATAGGTGTGGTGAAATGCCTGATGATAAATGCTGACTTTCTTACAAGAAATTCTGCAAGTGGAATAGCCATTTCCACAAAGTTATTTGTAAATTATCTTTATTTCTGTGCTTTTAACGAATGGGTAGTTTTAACTACAGAAACAATTCCCATGCCTCTCTCTATTCCCAGTGGTTGCATTCAAAGTCTTCCAGCAGGAGCCGCAAGATTTTGTCTTCCCAGCTTGCAGTACTAGGGCAACACAGACAGAACTTTAATAAATGTGTGATTAAGTTCATGATTCAAGCATCATTTAATTGGCTGGGAGTTTATATACTGAAATCCTCCTTAATGCCATTTGATTGGAGAAGTATGCTAGGTAAATCAAAACAAACAAACAAAAAAGCATCAAAGGTGTCTCATCATTTCAAATCATAGTTCCCTCAGGATCATATAAATGAGTTAATACACTTCCAAATGTATTTATTAGCAGTTTACTTTCAGCATCTTCTTCAATGAGTGATTTCTTTTACTGGCCAGCTTTTTAATTATGCATTCTCTGTGTATCATCAAATGACATCTTCCTTCACCTAAAATGTTAATAGGTAGGACAGGACTGATAAATCTGTTTAAATTGGCATGAATGTAAGAAAAATCCTGTACTATACTGGCAGCTTCCTTAACACGACCATTTTGTTTTCTTCAGCACAAACAAACCTGTGCTAAATTAAAAGATTTGCTATTATAACATTTAATTTAGGTGATTCGTGAAATTGCAGCTCCAAAAACCTGTAATGCCAGAGTAGAATGAAACTGATGTAGAATAAAAATAACTTGAGTACTTGGTGAACTCACCATCAAGTGTTGTAAGCTGTAACCACAGTGCCCGTGCTTCGACTACAAGTGTTGCTTATTTTAATGCTGAGTGTTTCATTCAACCTCACGTTTCTCATTGTGCACTTCTTGGGACTTGGTCATGCCTCATTTAACTGCCTTGAATGAAGCTGCTTGCTGCCTGTCTGACCTGATAAGAAGGGCTTGCAACCATGTCTACTCAGAGCTCACCTCCAAGCTGCACTGCAGCTGCTGCTGGAGCTGAGTACAGCCTCCCAGGGATGGTGTACGTGGGGGGTACCTCAGAGCCTATATGAACCAAGAAGGTCCATGATTAACAATTCCTCAACTGCTTCCCCATCTTAGGATGCATTGCAGATCTTCTCAAAGAGCAGTTTGTTTTATCCATCACCTTACTTTTCACTCTTTTTTAGTTCAGTCTTTTCTCCAGGAAGCTTTGGTTTTGGAATGGGACTATAAGCATCCACTGAAAGGATTCTCTGTTCCACTCAACATACTGTGACACTGACAGAAAGCTTCTGGTTGAGGTAGGTCATACTCAGTGCTGGGAGCTGGTACCTATTATGCAGATACACCATTTCATATATCTGTCACAATTGCCTCTATTTTAGGTTTCTGTTAAAAAAATAAAATAAAATCTGAAACAAATGGTGAGAGGGGCAGCCAAATTCCTCCCCAAAATTACACTGCTGTTATAAACACACCACACTGCTGGATTTAATCTGAAAATCAGAGAAAGAGAGAAAGAGCATGTGTGTATGAGAGAGATTTTTTTGATGTTTGCTGAATGGTTTGAGTTTGGAAAGTATCTTTTCTCAAAATCAACTGATTTTATATCATGCCTGCAGACCTTACTTTGCATTGATATTTTATTCATAAATCAAGATACCTCTTAAAAGCATAGAATCACAAAGGTTAGAAAAGATCTCAAAGATCATCCAGTCAAACCTTCCACCTACCACCAATATTTCCTCACTAACTCATGTCCCTCAGTACCACATCTAAACATTTCTTGAATATCTCCAGGAATGGTGACTCCACACCTCCCTGGGCAGCCTATTCCAGCATCTGACCACTCTCTCAGAGAAGGCATTTTTCCTAATGTCCAGTCTGAACCTCCCCTGGCACAACTTGGGCTCCTCTCTTTAAATATTGCTCTTACATTACTTGGTGAATGTTTTACTGCTTTATGTAGGTCTGAAGCCTGTGTGATTCCTCAAATCATTATCATTAATGAATTTTGAATGAAAATTTATAGTTTGTGTCTGCTATTTAAAATCATGCAGTTGTGGCATATTTGCTCTTGTGGAATGTTTGTCTGGCTTCCATTGCCAGGTTTTCTTGCTTGTACTCATAGACAGTGCTGGAATCATGCTAATGATATCCTAAGATGCAAAAATATATGGAAGACAATTGACACATGAAAAAACTGTAATGAGCCCTCTGATACCCTGGGTTAAAATAAATCTGGATTTTATAAAGTATTTTCTTTCAGGGGCACTAAACAGCTGATGAATAACAGCAATTCCTGGGCATGTAAACCTTTCATTTTAATTTAAACAAGAGAGGAGCTTTCCTGACAAAGGGAACTGTAAAGGCAGTAAGAGAAGAAGGATACCTCTGGGGCTCCATCCCTTCTTTACTTTACTGTCGAAGGAGAACAAAATGAACAACAGGAGTCATGAATCTAAACTTGATGCATGACTAAAGCAGCTGAGTCGTGACTAAAGATGTTATGACATTCTGCATACCAAACTGCCAACATTTAGTGGAAGGCTGAACTATGTTCCTAACAAATAGTAAGAGCACAAATGTACAGTTGCCAAATAAGTCTGGCTTGCAAAGTTCATTCTGTTTTATTCTAGCTGTTTTGTCCCATTCTGCCCACTCACATCCACAGTCATCAGTAATCAGTCTGGTGTCTAGAATGATGACAACTGTGCATGACATCTGAGATAAGGAAATCTTGATTAAAGGGAAGATTAACATAATAAATTCTTTAATAAAAGTCCCCTATAAGTATAGCCTGTACATGCCTGCATCTGCCAGCTTGAAGGTGATCACTGAGAACCTGGTGGGTGCTGGAAGAGGAATAATTGTGAATCTTTCTTTAATCTACAAAAAAAAAGCAGTTTGTCCCTTTAAGAATGCAGAAAAACCCTTTACAGGCTGACATTTCACACCTAGATAGATATAAGCAGGTGTTCTGTGGAGAGCAATACCAAAACTGAGAGTCCAGAATCTTGAAATCATTAAATGAACTTGCCTGAACTCAAAAGGCAGTGAACTGAAAGCTGTGTTTGCTTTTGAGGCAGCAGTGCAAAGCAAGTTTGGTGCAGCAAAGAGGAGTTTCACCTTCTAGTTCTAGATAGAAATTCCACACAGTGTTTGTGTTTAGAGAAGATGTACTGGATCCAGGTAATGAAATACCTGAAAGAAAAATCCATACAAAGGTGATGACTTCATGAACAAATTCTGCTGTGCATTTCAAGAGTATGTTAAAGGTAGTCTGTGAACAGGCAGATTAAACTGCTCATGTGTATTTTCACAAGAAAACAAAGAACAACCAATGGCTAGGTGATCCTGTAAAAGCTTTTCTTTTGATGATAGGTCTTTTTATTAAACCTCTTTTCTTTTCCTTTAGTGAAACCTCTGTAAATCTGCCATTGGGTCCTGTTTCTTCCTTGATCACAGCACATCCCAAGTCATCTCTGTGACAGAGCTTCCTTACTGGGGAAATCTCAAGATGCAAATTGTATGTAAATAATTGTAAGTTATTGTTATTTTGTAAAAATTGTAATTGTAAATAAGCCACAGAGTCTGAGAGTTTAGTTGTGGAAGTCATGGTCTGTCCTCCTAATGGACACATTCCGTATGTAATATGAGATTTATCCTGCATCTTGCCACAAAGTACAAGCAAATGCAGAAGCATATGAATTATTTCACTGGAGAATTCTTGGGCTAATCTTTTTACATTTATAAATGCTACTAGAAGTCTATAATTTAGCCTATTCAAATAACTGTACCTCACAAGAAAAGTCTCTACTTGATAAAAATGTAAGTAAATGAGCAAATCAAAACAGAATAGCATTATTTGCTGCAAATGCTTAAGCACAGTTCTCTCTCTCTTTTCTCTCTCCAAAAATACTGTAGAGAGAAGAAATATTCTCCCTCATTGATCCCAAGGATCATTACAGTAAATGCAGTAACATGCGTGATACGTGAGGAGAAATACATGGACTGGGCCTAGAACCTCCTAGATAGTGCCAAAGGGCCTTGAAATCAGGGCCTCAAATTCTTTCAGATGGATAAATATTATTTCCCATCACCCTCACTTTTGGAGACTATGATGACTGAAATCTAATTGGATGTCTCTGGCACATCTGTAATGTCCCATGATGCTGTGAAATATGGTCTCTCAAAACCTTGCACTGATATGCTCTAGCCACTTTTCAATGGTTTAAGGTCAGGATGAGCAGCCACATAGCATGTCTATGTGAAGAAATGTAAGAGATATTAGGTGAAACAATCTTTGATTAAAAACAGGGCTTTAGAGAGGAAGCTGCTGACATCTGACTCACTCTTTCCTGCAGCATGTAGGTGGCTTTTGGAGCTCCATCAAAAAGTGACCCATCTTGATGATGCTCAACATGCAAGCTGCCACTGAATCACAGCCACAGCACTACAGTACTGTTTGATGCTGGGTCTTGGGGCAATGAATGTGGAATAACAGAAGTGGTATCTGGTAGCTAAATGCACCTACTGTATGTCACCTAGTTTTTAATACTTTTGCATTACTTTTGCACGCTGAAAATAAAAGATGGCATTTAATTGCTGGTAGAACTCAGATCATTGTGGCAGAGTTGGACAGAAAAGAAAACAGACCCAGAGATGTGATTCACTGTCCGCAAAATCAAGTAGCAGAAAGATCAGAATTGAAGAATGCAGATAGAAGCTTTCCCTGATCATCACTAAGATTTAAAAGCATAACAACAAGTAACATGATTGTCATGGTGACTGAGTGTTTGTTTATGGTAAAATGCATCAGGCAAAGTTGGAATGTTTTTAATTTAAAGCTCAGATGACAGGGAATTGAGTATTGTAAGAAAGAACAGGAATATATTCTTGGCAGATACAATGCAAATAATTATTTTTCCTATGAAAATTCCTTTCAGAGCTCACTTTTTCCTGCCTCTTTCTTCATTTTAATTCTGAATATGTTTGTCTTTTGTGAATGGAGGGAGCCATCAAGCTAGGTTTGAGGAAAGTGAAAATGAGCACCGCTCATAAGCAGACTCTTGGTAGTAAACAGACATTATGGCTTCTTATAATAATATTTTTTAAAAAAGAATAATTCTTAAATCTGATTGCTGCACTATACGCTGTGCTGGAACTTGCAAATATATGAGAAGTCAGTCAGATAGTATGCTGCATAGAATTAGTTTAGCATTTTTTCTCCTGAAATTGTCAGGTGACTCAATTTTCTGGGCCCCATATTCTAAAATTCAGTTTTATTTGCCTAAAAATAGCACACATAATAAAACCCAAAACACTAAACCTCCAGGACCAACATAAGAGAACTTAATAAGATATTCAATTTGCTGCAATTTAAATTGATGGGAAAATCCTGTTAAGATTAGAAGTGTCCAATAGGCTGATAGTTTGTTATATGATAATAAATTAGTTTTGTGTAAATTACTCTTGCTGTAATATACCCTACATTTGCAAGCATTTCTTTGAAACCATTCAGGAATAGCTCTCCATCTTGAACAAGTGACTTCAGAGCCTCAGGGCTACACTGAAGGCTGATGAACAACAGCATCCTCACCTACAGCTATGTACTTCGAGACAGTATTTCATGTTAACGGCAAAATATCCAATGGACTTTCACAGGAGATGTTCAAAAGGTCTGGAGCACAGAACTCAATCGTTTAAGGATTGGAAGAAGGTTTTTAGAAAGCCTTAAAATCATTATACCTTCAGTCTCCATCTCTATCTCTTTTTAAGGGTAACAAATGTAGTAAATGGAGGGAGATATCTGATTTGCATGCAAAGCCTGCCAGTTTACAGGGAGCTTTTTGCTGTCACTGGTCAGAAGATAACGTTTATTTTGCATTTAATTGTATTTTTGGGAATATATCATTGTGCCTTGTGATTTTAAATGAACTGGCAAAAATTTAACTGGCAATAATCATTATATTTTAATACTCATAGATTTCATTGAAATGAGTGGTAAGATATGTATTAATGTTAGTAGGCACAAGACCAGGCTTTAATGGTACATGACACCACCTAGGAATCTTTTAAAGATATTGCTTTAGAATGAAAGAGAAAAAGTGTTTAAAGTTCTCTTCTTGTACAAGACAAATGATGTGGGTTTATGTTAAATTTGAAAAAAAATATCAAATGACTTTGTAAAAAAGTTTAACTTAATCAGATTTGCAGATTCTCATATAAATTACCAAACTAGTAACTACTTTCATGGCATTATTACTAAAAAAAGAATTATTATTTGCAAATTGCATAAAAATAAATAGAAGAAATTTGAGAAGTTGCTGTAGTATACTGGGGTAAGAAGCAGTAGTAACTGTATCAAAAACACTTGAATGCAGAAGTTTCAACATTTCACAGAGGTTTTTTGTTTGTTTGTTTGTTTTTTAAGTAATAAAGTTCTCCACTTTCCTGGATCCTTTTAGACACCTTTTTAGCAGTCCATCGGTTTTTTGAAAGAAGAGATTGGGGAAGCATTTACTGTGAAAGTAGCTTTTAGTTGAAATTCCATCTTCATGGAATGAAGTCATGGGTGAAACTCAACCCTGAATGTTATTGTGTGGCCTAAGTTGATTGTTAAATCAATGTTGCTCAAATTATTTTGCTAGTTGTATATTTTTTTCAACTTCAAATGTATGCCATTGCAAAGAGCATCATCTTTGAGACGCAAAAATTAGAGCTTATCTGCAAATTGTTCAAATCTGAAATAGCTGGAAAACTGAGATGACTTTTTTGGGGAGATGTCACAGAATTCTGTAGATCCAATACCTAAATCTGGTTCTACTGCTGGCTACCTGTAGCACAGGTAGTACAGATCCAGGTAAAAACTTGCTTTCTTCTCCTGGCCTTACACCCAAAGCAGGAAAACTACTTACACTATTGAAAAGATCATTCTTTCATCTTGTATCTAATAGTTCTGAATAATGCCAAAGGCTCTGCTGTGAGGATATTTGGTTTCCTAAAAGGTGGATAGACATCCCCTCACCAGTCTCACATAGTCCATACAACTTTCTGTTGCGCTAGGTGAAAGTTGCTCATACATTCTTCAAATCTTCAGAAAGATGTTCCTCTTTCATCCTTTATTGTTTCTCCCTCATTTTCATCACAAGTATTTCAGGCATATTATTCACCTCCCAATCAATCAAGAGTGGTATCATTATGTAAAAAAGAAATGGTCACACAGACATAATTTTATTTGTATTTGCCTATGATTAAGGCTGTCATTATCCTCTGATGGTTCAATTTTATTATACAATTTAGATCTGAAACATGAGTCTGAAAGTTTCCACTGGAGTGAGTTAATAGGGTATCCAGTGTCCTGTCTGCTTCAAGAAAATTAATGGTAGAAATTTTAGCATAATGACAGGGAGAAACCCAGAACATTAAATGTGCTAAGCCTCTTTGCTGATGTCCCTGCCCATTGGTGTAGGACAGAGTCTGGGGTGCAGCTGTGTGCCACCTGCTCAAGTTACGGGGCACAGAGGAGCAGTGGGGAGAGGGGCAAGCTCTGCGATGGCCTATTCTGCTCAGCTGACACTAATGTGTTTTGATGGCAGGGTCACAGGTGAAATTAGAGACCTTTTTTTTTCCTAATCTGGGGTAAAATAATCTTTCCAATAACATATGGGTACAACCTTCAGGCTGTCTGGCTTTAACCATAAAGATGAGGATATGCAGAAAGCAGAAAATGCAATAGCAATAAAACAGGATTCACTCAAATAAGCACTTTTTTTCTATTCTAGAAAGGATGAATACTGTGCCTCTATTGGATTCCATCTGGATGTCAGGGCACTCCTGAAAATCAATATTTTTATACCAAAAGATCAACCACAAACCAAACTTAGGGAATATTAATTAATTGGCAAATGCTCCTTTGAAGGTAAATTAAGAAAGTAGAGTGGAATTTCTACTCAATATTTTTCTTTTGATAAATTCTGGTCCTTCATTATTTTTGTTGACCGTTTTCTGCTTTAGACCTAGATTTAAACTGAATGTAATTAAGTATGAGTGGATGTCTTCTGTCCATTCTTGAGAAAGGCAAATGAGACCCTTAAGAATTGGTAACATACGCTCAGAATACTATTCTAAACACTTAACAAGGCTTTTATTATAACCAGACAGGTTTTGTTAACACAGTGTTTTTTCTTGATGAGTTTCTGTGGTTTTAAGAAATAGTTCCTGAGCTTTTTTTTTTTTTTTTTTTTTTTAAATTCTGAAGAATACTAGTCCAGAAAGATGCAATATTTTTCAGTAATTTCAGAATGTCTCCAATATTTGTAATGCACTCTTTCTGGCAGAATTAATGCTTATGTGAATTTCATGTTCTTATTTATTTAAATATTATACAGTTTTGAATAGTTATTTCATAATATTAAAGGTTACAGCACAGGGAGTTTCATTTTTTTTTGCGTGGTGTTTATCTATACCTAAACAGTCCCATACCATCTGCCAAGTTTGCTTTTCCTCGATTCTGGATCAGAAAAATTGTAGTGATAATGAATAATTCATTTCTATGATAAATCAGGGATGAGTCAGAAGACTACAATGTCTAGAAAACAAGCCTCTGACTTCTGGTTCACTCAATCAAATGCAACTTGAGCCAGAATGGACCAGAAATCAGAGCCAGTTATTTCTTGGAGTACCATTTAGAAAAAACATGGTTGTATTGTTATGGGTATGACAGGACTTTATGGGCAGAATGAGAGAAGAGCCAACAACCTACAGGACCTTACCTAAGCTGAACAGGATCAAAAACAAGTTAGGGCAGATAAAAATATCTGATCAAGTATTACATATACAATAATATCTTCATTGTTTGTTGTTCCTTAACAGAATATTTTGGGGCATAGGGCAATAACTGACTTCTCATTAGCAAAATATATACCAAAATCTCCTCTCCCTCACCTTTCCCTACCTCTCCAATGAATTATGCTGTTTTGCTAACTGACAATAGCATTAGACCTTTTATTAGCCATCTTAGCAGAAAGGTTGTGAAAGTAGTAGGGTTGGAAGGGTGGGCTCACCTTTGTAGTGAGTTAAACCTGCCCTGAGGCTGTTCTTATCCTGGGAGATGGGAAGGCTAGAACACAGAAGTCGAAAAAAAGCCTTTATCTTGAGCCCTTCACACCTTCTGGAGCTGCAGGAAGAGAAGAGTTTTGAATGAGGCTGGCTGGAATTGCGGTGTCACTGCAGAGGGAAAGCCCTAGGCTGAGCTCACACGTGCCTCGGAGGGAAGAGTTGCTTGATATGGTTTTAATTCATGCATCAGATGTTGTGCAGTGCTGTCTTTATCTCCTTCATTATTATTTTTCTTTAATAAAATACTGCTAAGCCACCTGATTTGCTTGTTAAAAAGAAAGTCAAAGCAGAAAATGAGTTTTGTTTTCCCTGGGTTTCTAAGCAGATGCTCCAGCTGGCATTTTGTTAGAGATCCCTTTAAAGCCGTGTTGCTGTCAATCAGTAGTTGGCAGAATGCTTGCAATAATAACATTAAACATTGAGCTCCATGGCAGTAACATGAGGCGTAAAGAAAAGAACTGCTCCAAGGGGCCATGGAAAAATGTCCAGTATTTAAGTGTATCTCCTGGCACAGATAGGAACCAGGCTGAAACTGCATCTGTTTAGGACCATTAGCGAAGCAGTTGAAATTCAAACATAATAAAAGAGGCTGTGGGAAACCATTTCTTGCAAGTGGTTATGCAAATAATGACTATTATACATTTTATGCATAAGCTTTCTTCTGCATGTTTCCAATGGTATTGGATGATGAATTAAGTTGGAATGTGCCCTTGTGAGATATTTTACTCCCATTTTGATCCCATAGCTAATCCATAAATAAATGAGTGCACAGGCAGCTAAAGTGATCTGTCGTTAGGAACACTACAAGTTTACATGGAATAGAATGAAATTCAGGCCTAATGGTCCCAGCTCTCTGTACCACAGCCGTTAGGTTCTTGTCTTATCAAGGACATTAACTAATACACTTAGAGCTTACCAGATGGTAGCTAGGTGCATTCATTTTCTTGGCTACCCAAACAGGTATTTCAGCATGGACAATAATCTGTCTCCTATGAAAAGAATAGGTGGTGTATCCCCCTGAAATTGTTTAAAAAACTATATAAAGATTAATGAGAATTATTATATATATAATGACTATCAATATCAACAGGGAGTATAGAAAGAAGAGACTCAGGGATTTATACTATAGTCCTTTCTTCTTGAATTCTCATTAGTTCCAATGGATTTCAGGATTTGAATATCTACAGAAGAGGTGAAATATGTGTCTGTTTTGATGTAGCAAACAGGACAAGTTCTTACTCTTTGAAAAAATTAACTTTGAGTAAAACCAAAATCAGATGTCTTCCTGTAATCAAACTCTCTTTTCCCCTTGATTATTGCTGTATATGTAAGGAAATTGTGATATTTTCTATTTTTTGATTTTTGGTTCAAAGCTCTGGTTCACATAGAGGTGCTTTCTTCATCCTTTTGAATCTTTTTATAGAGGATACTTTGAAACCAGCTCACATCCAATTTAAGCAAATAACTGGTTTTGGTAAAAGAGAAACAGAAAATGTTATCTTTTCAATTAAAAAAAAAAAATCAAACTTCAAAAGAAGATTTTTTCATACAAAAGAAAGTTTAAAAAATTGGTGATTTCATGGAGAGATAAATGTGCTTTGTAGTTTCCTTTGTTCCCTCTGCAGTTGTTGAAGGTTTTGTACTTTATCAGCTTATCTGCTGCAGTTTAGGCTTGCTGTCTCTCCAGAACTGCTCTTTGATAAGCAGATCTGATTCTCTTTGCCCTCTCTTTAGCCTTTACACTCCTGCTGCTTCATGGGTTTCAGGAGAGCATTCCTGACTGACGTTCCTGTGGAAGGAGAAGTGGCTGGAAATGACAGTGTGATCTGAAGCCTTGATAGCTCTGCATTGGCAGCCTTTGCTTTCTGCTTCATTCTGCAGTTTGGTCCTAATCATGTAGAGCCTACCTTTAGGATCTCAACAATTAGTGACTAATTTTTGTCTGAGAGGGACAAAGCTTAACTTTCTGCATAAATAACTTTGGTTGCAGTGCATGGGGAGAGAGAAGTTCTGACATGCACAGGTTGTATTTCACTGGCTTTCTTCTTTAAAGGCCAGGACGATAATAATTTTATTTCAGATTTTGATTTGCCACATTTCCACTTCCAAAATAGTAGCTACTCCTGTACTCTTAAGAAAAATTATTAACGCTTTAGACATACATAGATCTGTTTTGCTTCTATAAATGTGAA